TAACTTTTTAGGAAAGTTTTTATCTATCTATCAGCCTATGTGTTCACTCATTACCTATTTAACAATATAAGACCTAACTTATAAAGAACAACTTAATTTTTGCTTATATTGATTACTTCTATGTATATAAACTTTAAATTGTTGATACTATAAATAATCAACAATATAAAACTATTTAAGTAACTTCTTTGTATGTGTCAATATCTACATTTCATTTTACAATCAATTTCAATGTTAATAAAATATTAAAGCTTAGAACATTTGTTTGTAAAAATTATCATTCTTCGRGAAATTATTTTTTAATTTTTCGCTTATATTTTTAGATTCTRTTGTTTTCAGAATGTTATTTTTAAATTTTCCAAGTTCCTACACCAAATGATTTTAAAATTAAAATAGGTAAACATATTATGAAAAAAATGTTTTATTARCAATTTAAACTTATAATAAAATGGTTTATTTTTAATTTATGTTCAATATGATAAGCTGGATGAAATTTATATTTGATGCATATTATTCAATCCCTAGTAATAACAAACTATAGGAATTCAGAAATAATATTATTTTTTTTTTTGGTCTTTTACTTATGTTTATGTTACATTAAATAGTATTAACATATGTTTAATATTTTGTAGAAGTAAAATCAAATTTGAGATCCTTGGATCAATGGATGGCCCAAATGGAAGTGAAATTAAAACCTAATTATTTTCGCGTCAATTGGAATCGCCGTGAAATCAGGCAAAAGGCAGAAGAGCACAAGGTAAGATTTATTAATTATTACCATAGGTAGTTAAGAAAAATGTTTGTTTACAATTGTATTAGTATAATTTTTATTTCATTTTCTCAAAAATTGGAATTAAAGTTAAATACATTTTAGTACACAACCTTACCTAAGTCCTAGCCTCCTAGGTATATATATTTGGTAAAAAAAAAAACATAAAAAGTTGCAGTTATGCAAACAATAATGTACTCGAGTAAACAAACATTGCTTAAGTATCGATATAGTTTTACTATTACTATTTACTTGTGATTTTATTTTAAATGTATTTAAAGAATKGTATATAAAGCTGAAAATRGGAAATAAGTTATTTAACTTTTTTGAATTTTGTTTATGATATTATAAAAATGTACACGATGCATACCTAGGTTTTGTTAAAAATACAATATTATTGTGTTATATTGTACAATCATTTTGGATTTCTAGTTCTTCTTAGTTTTATTTATCAGGCGCTGTATAGACATTGTTTGGTGAGTGCATGAAATTAAAGTCATCAACCTTAATTTTTAGCAGGGGTAATTTACCAACGATTAAAATGTAATAATACTCGTAAGTCGTGAATATAAGATGCAAACCAAAAAGAGGAATATTTTTTCTGTATAGAATCTATATGTATTTGAAAGAAATCTGTATGTTTCCAATAAATACAAAAAACCATTTATCGCAAGATAAATCCAAAAAGTAAATTCGAATTTCTGCGCATGTTTCTGGCTAAAGAAATGAATAAATTTTATTTTAAATACCAAAATAATATAAGATTCAAACGTTACGGCGGATATACAAATCAATAATAATTATTATACCAAAATTATTATATACAGTGGTTTAATTTAAAGTTATTTTGGATTTTATACAACATTCGTTGTGAATAACCAATTTAAATAATAAAAAAAAAAAATTGTATCATTTTGTTATTGGTTTTAAGTCGTGTTTGTCGAGTAGTATAATATCAAATTTCTATTTTTGATATTGATATTGAATATTAATTTTAAATTTAACATTCGATGACMATGGGTTTTATGCGCTGTGTTAAATTGTTGTGATTTGTGGGTGGAACAAGGCGATTATCTTTTTCTTTTTCTGATTGATACTGTTGGTGAATTATATTTTAGTTATTTAGTTAGTAAAAATTACTTTATTACTTTATTGTTTTAAATAGTAAATTGTTTATCATTCAATATTATAATTTTTTACTTATATATCATTAATTATAAATGTTGGTATTATGTATTGTCAACAGCATTAAGTGAATCCTATATACACAATCAATGAGGTATAATATAAATGTTGTAATTAATAAATATGATGTACCTAAAATATTATAAAAGTACCTCTAACAATAATATGAAATATTATGTTAAACATCATACTATCATGTTCATGTAATATATTTGTGTGTGTACTGTGTATGCGTGTATATTTAAAAGGTTATAAATTTATAATTGATATAAAAATTAACTATTGCATTCGCCACTATCAACACGATTCAATTCTAATAAAAATGTTAAAGTGTTTAAATTCTTTCAGTASAAATATGGCGCGTTTCGACGAAGTCGATTTACCGGTTATCTTTGCCTACCTTCTATGCTCGAGTGTTATTTTTAATAAGTATCGATCTTATGGGATGAACTAGTTTGCAAAAAATTATTTTTAAACACTGGTAGCTTGAAATTTCATTCATACTAATAGGTATATATTATGTATTACCTATTGCTTTCTTAAATTGTTGTCGAGTTATTATTGTTATAAATTATAATCATGTCCCTAAAATATTTTATAAATAAATATACATTTTTGGTAGATATTTATTTATTCTAAAATATTGTTTGTGTGCATTCATATTAATATTTTCTTTTATCAATTGTATGTTGTACTAGTCCATTTTTTAGGACATATTAACTTTGTACCAATATACCATTGTACCATACATTTACACTAATGAAATTATTACTGATCAAATATAATTGTACGCAAAAGAAAACACCTCACACAATTAAACCTTCATATTATGAATAAAAATATTTATTTAAAAAAAAAAGTCTATTCATAAATGTCTGATCATTTTTTTTTATTAATATCAAAATATGTAGGGACTTCGATTAATTTTAAAACTAAAATAACTTCAATTACGAAGAAAACATTAAAAAATAATTTTACAATTAAAATTATTTTTCTATTTATGAAAAATATGTAAATAGTTTACCTATCACTAATGAATTAATTCAATTTCACGAGTATTGTGCTCTATGTGAATGATTAATTAATTCACAGTCTTTTTTAGGTAATATATTGTTTGTGAACGGTTTAGTAAAAATTCATTGATTGACGTGTTCGMAAATTTAATATTTATACACTGATTAAAAAATGTATTTAACTGTACAGAGTACGAAGACTACACAAGAAAACAACTGAATACATKGTATTATATAGGTGTAGTCAGGAAATTGTGTTTTATACAGTCGACACATTTTGAGAATATAATATAAGAATTGGCTCTTCAGACATAGTTAGACAATTTTTAAATTGATAATTTTATGAGTTATAACTTATAAGTTATAATATTTAATGTTTTATGAAAATAAAAATATAATCATAGACAATTTATTATTATATTAAAGACTTCAAAAATTTGGCTCTGGAACCTCAAAATTGTTATTTTGATCTTGCGATCTTGTATAATACACTGATAAATATGTACCTGTTGCAAATGAGTAATCTGGTATAAAATACGCAATATTTATTGATCTGTTTTTGATTACTTATACAAATTTAAATAATGTTTTATAAAACCAAGTCAAAATCAAATTAAACAATATATATGTAATATATTATATTGAAAAGTATATAAACATGTAGGTACCTATTCAACATAACAATATATAGACAAATATGAAATAATAATCAAGCATCATATTGGAATTATTTTAAATTAATCTGAAATGTCATTGACACTTTATTATAATATATAGTTAACGATAATATATCCCCCGAAGATAACTTCCAATTATGTTATGTGGATGCCTTAAAGAACAAGGCTGTGTACTTACATTACATTATGTCAGTGAAACAATGTAAAACAAAAAAAAATTTCTGTGAATGGTTTCTTCAGCTGCAGTCCAATTATTATTATTTGTATTATTATCTTTAYTATTATTCTAGATAGTARCTACTAGATACTGAGCCTCTTCTTTGGAAACGAATCAAATCAAATCAATAGCATTGTCTTTAGATGTTTAATATGGACMAATAATATAATATACTCCTTAATTGGATCCGTATCAATTCTTATAACCTGAACGCGACAATTTTAACTGTGTTTATGTGCCGGTTTTAAGACAAGTTTTACTTTCTCTCGGTGCACTACGTATACCATTAAACTGCAGTATTTATTTGCWKTTTAGTTGCTTGTATTGAATTTTAAATTTACTGATTACTTCGCTGGTTTAAGTCTAGAAAGTAGATATACTTATACAATGTAGAAATAAAATAATATAKAAATACCATTCAATCAGCTGGTTGGGATTTTGTTTACTTGTGGTCTGAACCTTCGATAAACATGGAAACAAGCCCGGAAATTTTCATGAAGTTAAATYTTTGTCCATCCGAGTTAACTCGGAGTATGTTGACTGCCGTGGTGGTAAGCCTCAATAGTATAATCGCCTAAAGATGTATAGTGTAAAAATTTGATATCACGACATTAAATATCTTTTTAGATTCTGAGCGGAGCGATGAATGTATTGATTTTACCATGATGTGTGTTTTTTTTTTTTTTTTGTGTCTGTCATCACGTTTTGGGGCAGTAAAAATGCTTCGATTTTTGACTTCAGTACCTCGTT